ACCCCCCCCCCCCCCCCCCAAGAAAGAAGAGGAGAAACACGAGATGCTATACAGTGCTCAACCAATGGGACAAGGTTGAAGAGGAACGTGGCCTACTGTATCGAGTCATTCAAGATCCCCATTGCGGCCAACGAAAACAGTTGATCCTTCCCCAGAAAATTAAAGAGACAGTACTCACCAGCCTACATGATGGTATGGGCCACTAGGGGTCAGAGCGAACATTACATCTGATTAGAGACCGTTGCTACTGCCCAGGAATACATAGCGATGTACAAGCATGGATAAAGAAATGTGAAAGATGTACCTTGTCTAAAGAACCATTACCACGTGTTAGATTGGGACACCTCCTAGCTACTAGACCCCGAGAAGTTCTTGCGATTGACTTCACACTGTTGGAGCCAGCCACAGATAGTAGGGAGAACGTGTTGGTAATGACAGATGTTTTCACAAAGTTCACACACGCAGTTCCTACCAGAGACCAGCGGGCGAACACCACAGCTAAAGTACTCCTTAAGGAATGTTTTTTTAAGTATGGTGTCCCTCTGAGAATCCGCTCCAATCAAGGAAGAAGTTTTGAGAATGCAGTGATCACCGAACTCTGTAAGCTGTGCGACATTAAGAAATCGCGTACCACTCCTTATCATCCACAAGGCAATGCCCAATGTTAAAGATTTAACAGAACCATGCACAACCTGCTGCGTTCACTACCACCAGAAAAAAAGAGAAAGTGGCCAGAGTACCTCCCAGAACTTCTTTATGCCTATAACGTGGTCCCACATGCATCCACCAGCTACTCTCCATATTACCTGGTGTTCGGCCGTAACCCCCGCTTACCGCTAGACCTAATGCTTGGAGCAAACGAAAAGGATCCACCTGAAACAGACTGGCTAGCCTCCCACCAAGACCGCTTACCAGATGCTTACCTCAAGCAGGGGAGCACCTCAGACAACAAGCAGATGCTCGCAAAGCCAACAGCGACAAGAGTACCAATGACCAGCCAATTAAAAAAGGCCAGTTTGTCTACCTACGCAGCCATCCTCGAGGCAGAAACAAGATACAGGATCCTTGGGATCCCACCTTGTACAAAGTTCAAGAGATGCCAGGACCTACAGGAGCTGTTTATGCAGTTGCTCCAGCCCATGGAGATGGACCCAGCAAGAGAGTGTATAGGACCCTGATGAGACCATGTCATAGGCAGGTACAGCCATGCTTTGACACCAACCCCATCGTGCAGACACATTTGATTCCCCCAAGAGCGAGACATAACAGAGTGCCCACTGAACCCCACGATGATGAAGAAGAGATAATCGTGATGAGGAGACGCCCCCATCCTGTATTGAGAAAAAGCACCTACAGAACCCTGTGAGCCTGTGAACCCCCCGGAAGAATCAGAAACCAGTGAGCCCCCAGTCCCAGAAATGCCCATTGAAGCGACTCCAGGAGACCCAGCGCCCTATGCAGAACCTGAGGCTGTTGAACCCGCCGTTCCAGTACCCCCAGTTGCAGAGACCCCCGA